TAGTCATCATTGAGGATAATCAAGGATCCCGCTATCCAGCTCGTGCCCTATTAGACTCTGGTTCGGAATGTAATTTTATTTCGGAAGATCTGAATAAGTTGATGAAGGTCGCTAGCATCAAGGTCGATATCGCTATTCAAGGTGTTGGACAGACGAACACGAGAGTCACCCGACGGATTCAAGCTACGGTCAAGTCTCGGATTTCGTCGTATTCTCGTTCTATGGATTTCCTAGTATTGCCAAAGGTCACAGCATGTTTGCCTACTGCCACGGTACAGACTAACAGATGGGAGGTACCGAAAGGAATCGAACTTGCGGATCCAGAATTCTTTCAGTCAAGAAAGGTGGATTTGGTGTTAGGAATCCAAGCATTCTTCAGCTTCTTCCAATCTGGACGGGAGATTCCATTGGGCAACGGACTGCCTACACTCACTGAATCGGTTTTCGGATGGGTGATGTCCGGAGAAATCAGTAGATCAGCGGAAGGTTCAAGATTCTCGTGTAATCTCGCAATATTTGACAATATGGAGGAACTATTGTCTCGTTTTTGGTCCTGCGAGGAGGTGGGAGCCGTCAATAACTATTCTCCAGAGGAAACGCGCTGCGAGGAGCAGTTTGGGCGTACCGTGCGAAGGGAAGCAGATGGTCGATATACGGTAACTCTTCCTAAAAACGAGCGAATCTTGGAACAGCTGGGGGAATCAAAGGACATAGCGCTGAAACGTCTACGAAGTGTAGAAAGAAGATTATCGAGGGATCCAAATTTGAAAAAACAGTATTATGACTTCATGGAGGAATATGTCAAACTTGGTCATATGAAGGAAGTCGTGGATACGAACGAAGAGGTGGTGAAACGAGTCTTCCTACCCCATCATCCAGTGATCAAGGAGTCGAGCACAACAACCAAGGTCAGGGTGGTGTTTGATGCATCCTGCAAAACATCAACGGGCGTCTCCCTAAACGATGCGCTGTTTACAGGACCGATTGTGCAGCAAGAGCTGAGGTCGATCATCCTTCGAAGCAGGTTCCGCCAGGTTATACTTGTTTTGTTATCAACAGGAAAAATCGATATCAAATTGAGTTTTCAGTTTGCTCTCACTGATAGCAGAAATAGATTTCAATTTGATGTCACAGGAAGATTTTTTTGCTCTCAATTTTAATATTTTAACCGTTAAAACGACCAAAACGACAACAACCTGAACAATCATTATCAGCGAAATCACAACATCAAATTTAGATTTCAATTTGATCTCAGACTGTGCTCGGGGGGTGGCCTTAATTATTGCAAACAACCCAAGCTATAATTTCACGGTCTTGTGTAAAGAAAGAGAGATGGACTATCAGTCCTCATCGTGCTCTCTTGCCGTGCGGATCTATTTGCTTTTTGCTGAAGGAAGTGTTACTGCTACCTAAAGCTACAACAAATTTAAACAGCACTTTTCAGTGCTCAATCTGTAAAATTTCTACTTTGTTTGACTCTTATTCCTCTTCGATCCTTGTTTAGACCCTACACGAGGTAATCCTGCTTGGCCATCGATTTGGAAAATTCTTCTTCGATCCTTCGGATCCTTATAGTAATCTGCTTGGAAGTCGATTTGGAGCGCAAAAGAAAAGGGCAACGGCTTGGTCCCCCTTCTGATGAAATTCAATTGAGCAATCAATTTGATGTGCTTACGGATGATGAGAATGATCAAACATCCAGGCAAAATTCCATTAAACATGTCATGCTTAATGTCAAAAAGGAAAAGGCTCCCCCCTATTGTTGTAATCACTTCCGATTGCCATGCTCTTCGCAAGGAACTTTTGAACTTCGTTCAATTTAAGTTTTCTTTAACCTTGGACGGATTCAAACGTCTTCTCAACTACCTTACTAAAAAGCAACACGCATTTTTTACTTACAGCACCAAAACTGAACGTCTGTTCAAGGTTGTCTTGAAAGGTGTGTCAAGTGGTTAATCTCTGGATCAGATCAAAGATGAATTGACTAAATTACTTGGAATTGAGCCTGTCATAGTAATCAAAATGAAAATGAAATCCCGTCCTGGCGATTCACTCAACGGGATTTTCAATGATTTTTATTTAGTTCACTTCAAGTCTAGTGAACTTAACAACCTTAAGGCCTTAGAAAAAGCTAGCTTTATGCTCCATGTCCGAGTGAAGTGGAAACACTTCAGGAAGACTGGAGGAAATTTCCAAAACCTCACCCTGTGCCGTAAGTGCCATGGATGGGGTCACGGAACAAACAATTGCTACATGCCAACTAAATGCACGAATTGTGGTGATTCCTCTCACACAAAGGACGACTGTCCTGTGAAGGAAGATCCTGAGAAATTTAAATGTTACACCGAAAAATCATTTTTTTGGGAATTTAAGACTCGCGATCCTACAATCTTGTTCTAAGTGACAGGTAGAAAACGCTCCACGTTCTCTATGAGGTACTAATTCCACTACTGCTAACAATCAGCGAGGAACAAATTTTACATTCGTACCTATACAGTACAATCATAGAGGTAACTATAAGACTAGTAGGCCTCGAAGAAACGTGCTCAACTTTTCGGCTCAGCTCTTGTACTATCTTCGGTCCCAAGCTAATCGATTCACCCCTCGAAACCTAGGAAAATCCACTTACCCTTCATTTTATCTGTCAAACTTTCATAGCGAATCAAAACAAACATAGTGTTGTACTAGAATTTTGGCTAGAATGGGGTACGTAATCGATTTGCTTGGGACCAATAGGCTAGTCAAGTAGTGAGCCAATTTAAAATCGCGGGTAGAAACCGAAATCAAAATTCTAGCCAACATAATTCTAACGGAAATTGTGATGATTTTGACTTAAGTAGCATTACTGCTCCTAAAATGGAATTTTTAATAGGAATCATTAATCGGCATGATTACTGATATGCTAAAGCTAACTCCATGTTTGATGCTATTCAAACTGGAGTTAAATTAGCGAACAACGAAATTCAGTAATGGATTTTAAATCATTAAATATTTTGAATTGGAATGCTCGATCTCTTAAAGGCAATGAAGATGAGATGAGAGAAAGAAGGATTAGTAATTTCCATTTAATTCCACTACCTTATTTGCTTATCCTTGACAGATACGCGTATTTCGTCTACAATGAGCAGACTTCTTCAGTGTCTTGTACTAATGCGCGTATCCGTCAATGATAAGCAAATAAGGTAGTGGAATTAAATGGAAATTACTAATCCTTCTCTCTCTCATTATACAGATATTCCACTAAGACGCCCGCATTCATCAGGAAGATGAGATATTTAACTTTTTGGGAGTTCATAACCATATCGCCGTTATAACTGAAACGTTCCTTAAACCTGACCATAAGGTTAAAGTGGACGCAAATTATTTCATCCATAGAAATGATCGTCTTGATGGAGCCTGTGGTGGGGTTGCCATCATTGTTCATATATCAGTTTTTTCTTCATTTGAAACAAAAGTTTTTGAAACTTTGGGAGTTACTATTGAAACATAATTTGGACAACTTAGGTTTGTAGCTATTTGCCATTCCAATGGTCAGCAAAAGAATTTTCTCAATGGTGACCTTCAGGAACTTACCCACTCATGGAATAATGCTCAAAGTAATTGCAATGGTAATATTTTGTTTGGTGATTGTTCTGCAGGTTATTACACTCTTCAATATCCAAACAGCCCAACATGCTTTTCTTCAGCTCAACTATTGATTTCGTCTTAGCTGATTCATGTTAACTTTGTAGCCAATTGGTTACCCATGCTGACTTCGGTTCTGATCATCTTCCAGTAACTTTTGAAATATCCCAAGAAATAATTTTAATCCCAACGGCTCTACTTTCAATTACCATAGAGCTGATTGTGAGCAATAATGAACATTTATGGAATATAACTTCGATCCAAATATTTCTAACAATAAGTAACAATTTAGTAATATTTTCTAACAATAAGTAACAATTTTCTCTACCGAGGCTAAAGATTTAAATAGCCGAGTGCGATATTTTTTGGCTCATTGATTTAAATCAGTTGAATTGACCACAGCACTTTTACAGTATGTTCCTATCACGTCAAACTTGGTAAAATCCTTAGGGTGTCCATTAGACTGATGCAAAATTTGACTTTTTCGCTCCACAGTGCTTAAATGGTTTCAAATCGGGTCCTGATTAGCCTTCCAAAGTTACAACTCATTTGGTTAGAAACAGACAGCGCACAAGCCATTTGAAGTTTACATATAAATTACTATAGGAAATCTCAACTTTTTGTTCATTGCCTTCTTGTCTTTTTTCATATTGAACTGCGAATCAGTTTGATAGCCATTCTTATAGAAAATTTTCTCAGCTACAACTTTGCTGAAAATCGTTTCTATGTAAAACGAGACAGGAAAAAGTTATTAATTATTTAAGAGATTGGTAAACTTATGACATGATCAAGCAGCTGCTCTGTAGGCAACACTGTATTTTGCAGTGTGACATAGTAGTTATGATTTGTGTGTCCTATTCAACGCCCCAGAAACACCAATGTTGCCTGCTGAGCAGTTGATTGAGCATGATCATAAGACATCAGCGCATTGGACCATTGATAACATTCGATCCTTGCATTTAATCAAAAAGCGGTCTTGAGCAAAGTTGTAGCTGGGAAAATTTCCTACAAGTACAGTTGAAAACTTTTGAAGCAGACCGATAAAGTGAATTATTAGATAGACATGAACAAAAATCTTGGTTTTACCATAGTAATTCCCATACAAACTTCAAATGGTTTGTGCCATCTCAGTTTCTCACCAAATGGTTTCAAATTTTGAGAGGTTAGTCAAGATCCGATTTGGAATCGTTTAAGTATTGTGGAGCGAAAATTTCAAATTTTGCATCACTCTAGTGTCCATAATGCGAAAATTTTGCATTTTGATATGGAGATCAATAGCATTAAACTATCCATTAAACAGGATTTTCCGTTAGCATTCTATAATAAAAAGTAATGAAAGAGCCCCAAAAGAGCGATCCATCGCTGATTACACGTACCTTCATTTTAGCAATCAAATCATTGACTTCCTTCTTCAAGGCGGTCACCTCCGGATCATCCTTAGGAGCCATTGTGTGTCTGTATGTTCAGTAGAAAATATCTTCACCACACAAATTCACTACGTATAAATGAGTTCCGAGTTGCGACTTCTGCCAGAAATATTCCACAAAATTGAATCACCGAAAAATAGGAAAAATCAACCACTCGATTATCAGCCTGTAGCTGAGCTATTGGTTGAACAAAAAAACGGTGCAGCTGACCACGGCTTACAACAGATACGAACTGGCCCGTCCAAGCGTGGGTTGCCAGGACCGTCAGGAATCAGCGCTCGTCGTTCGGACTATTGCTAATTAAATTTGCTACTTTACTGTGGAAAACCGTGTGTGCTTCCCCATCCAATCGCTATTTCCCAATATACAGGGCTGTGGGGCCAACTTCAAAACACTTGCTTTGTGCAATATTGAAAGGCAATTGTTTGCAGTTTATAAGAATCGTGGTTCCTCCATGTACCCAGACCTCCCCTACTGGTAACCATTTTCCTGGATTATTTTTTGCGCCATCGTTTTACGCTTTCCGCGTGTTTCTTTGTCATCTGCTAGGAATCCACGTCCACCACGCCTAATATCGTCGATCGATGTGCAGGACACTTGGTAGGTTTCGCCCTCCGCGTCGTTGTTGTTTTTGGTGCTACTTTTGTCTAGTTCGACAGAGTTCGCGAACAGAAGAACGTCCTTCGCAAAGGCATATTCGTATGCGGAACGAAGCAACACATGGATGTCTGTGGGTTGTTTTCCAAAAATGGAATAGAACGTGTTTTCCACGCTCCGCATGCTTCCCACTTAGTTTCGTGTTACACCACCACGCACTATGGAAATGCTACTTATGCGGGTGTGTCTTTGTGATCGATTTTGGGTATGCGACATTCGATAATAATAATTTAATTTAATAGGTTACGATTCCCTCGGGAAACATCCTTTCTGTTGTGGTCGGAGGCTCGTAACATTGTTGAATTCTTTTTGTTCTATCAAACTACAGTCGCATGTGAGAAGTATTGTCATGATAATTCATCTTATATTGCTATGTCAAAAGATATGTTCACTTCGGACTTTAAATTTTGCTGTGAATGAAGAAAACTGTTTATCTAACAAAATGGCACATTAAACAGTACGAAAGAAATGCAGATCTGATTTATATGGAACGCTCCCTTAAGTATACTATAACTAGACGACGTTGACGAGAAACGCTAAGTAGTTTCATTTGACTTGTGCACTCGCTTGACGCTGGCGGAAAGGCCGACGTTCATGGATCGATAAACGAAATCATAATGTAACGCGTTCCTTTGGTAGTTAAAAGTCCTTCGTGGAAATGAGTCAACCGACCCGGGTGCATCAACATCCAACCCTTGCGAGTATCCGTTACCGAGCAGTTATACCTGAGAACGAACCAAATGCTTGATGTGAATTTTTTCTTGCATACAAATTCATGAACCATATTACCTTAAGAAATAACAGCCGCCTCCTTCGTAATCGATTCCGGCATTGTTCAGAGCTATGTTTATCGTATAGGTAGATGAATCATGGTGAGGCCTCAAAGAAGGCTGCTCATCTGGTCGGTATCGTACGACAAAGTTCATCAACGATCTCGGAGGCTGTAACAAACGTATTCATTTTGTAGAAATTCTCCACACATTTTTTTTCCAAAACTACACTTACATCGTGAAAGTATCCGATAAACACCTTCTCCTGCAGTGGTTTTACGTACAACTGCAGGAACTTCAGCCACACCTGTTCCAGCCCAACCTGGTTCATGTGAATGTCCCGCGTCGGAACCGCTTCGTAGCCACCCTGTAGACGTTTGTCGCTGTGCGTTCCATCGGACCACTGTCCAAAAGCTTCGACAATATCCCTCAGATGATCACAAAACTTCTCCGTCGCGATCGCAAGCCAGTATACATCCGGACAGGGCTGCGTCTGTACGTAATCCTTTTCCAGCTGTTGGTAATACTCCGGCGAAATGTACTTCTTCTCCCAATCGTATTTGTTATTGAACAGTTGATAGAAATCCGGATGAGTCTTGGTCGTATCGTAGTAATCGCTATCGATCAGATGACCGTATTCTTCCACGTTGATCACGTGCATGAAGATCCCCTTGTATCGCATATGCCAACAGAATGCCATATCCGGATCGGTACCTTGTAGCTCGAAGCTGAGTTGCGGTAATACTGATGCCTTCACCAGGTAAACAGTAGAGACGAACGGAACATTCCACTGGCCCAGGATCTTCCTACTGACGATATCCATATAGTCGCTTGAACGTGCATAGAAGCCCTGGTTGCTTAGCGCTCCCCAGAAATTGCTCCATACCTTCTCCGGACGATTCAACATGGGGCTTATGATGTTCCTATTCTGCACCATCAATTTACGCAGGGTTTCCGGATTGTCAATGTGACCATCCGCGTCGACTACGAATAGATAATCGCATTTCTTTTTAAGGCACTGATTGACAGCTAGCGACCGTCCGGCCAGCTCTTCATAATCGTCAGTGTAGTCAACCATACGGAACGAGCGGTAGTTATCTTTGTACTTTTCTAAAAACGCATCGATCGTTGGCTTATGGTAGTCGACATTGTTGTGGATGAAAATATCAATTTTCGAGCCTGGATAGTTGATATCGGCGATAGCCTCGAACCATTCTTCGATGAATGGAGTAGCTTTCTCGATGAAAAGTGCCATCAAAACCGTCGGTAGGTTGTCCTCATTCAACTTGATGAGATCTTCGGTGACCGTTTTGCACTCTCCGTCGACGAAAGCCCCCGCCAGATAGTTTGCATACCCGTTCAGAACAATCTTGCTCGGTCCATTGCCGTGAACGACGTATGGAATCGTGGAATACTCCGTATTCTTCAAGTACGCTACCTTGGAGTCTTCAGTCAAGGCTAAAACAACCTGTTCTTCCACTCCGTTCAAATTCTGAAGCAAAGCCGCCGTGTGATCCAGCTTTATGTTCAGGTCACTTCGCAGTTGTTCGTTCAGATACACCTTGGTATAGTACAGCTGATCATCGTCCGTATCCTTGACCGGAGTCTTCAGCATTCGATACACCTTGGAGGCGTACCCCATGAACATGCCCGAATTCAGGAACCGTGTACCTCTGCCCTCCAGCACTGGATACTTGCTCTTCAGTTCCTCATCTGGCCAGCAGAATCCTTCCGAACCGAACAGGATCGATGTGTTGAATGTTTGGAACTTTTCGACGATTTTGTCCATGGTGGACAAAAATAGCACATCGTAACTATCGGTAAACAGTACCATCCGATCGTCGTCCGCTTTATACGGTTTCAGTGCGTCCCGGAGCAGGTTGATCTTGTAGCCTCCTCCCAGTTTGGTCATGTCACCACCGAGCCATGGTTTTCCCATACCGAGGGTGGTTACCTGCATGCGTAGATTTTTTTTATTCCGGTGTTGATATTTGTTGCAAAATACATACCTCAATCCCGTAGTACTTCGCTGAACGAATGTATCGCAGATATCCCTCCGTCTCATTGCTGGCAACCGTAAATACTAGAGGGGATTTTTCTGGAAATGATTTGTAGAAAAGAGAGAAAAAGTTGAAACCAATGGCACGTAATTCAAATGTAAGAGAGGGTTTCTAAAATGATCGCTGTATTATGTTTCTTACGAGAAATGTAACAAGCAAATTTATTCCAAAGTTAATATAAAATTATGTTTCGACTCAAATGTATGAGACAGTAACTAATTTGGAAAGTTAGTTTTCATACGACCACATTACAGAATCTGTATATCTGTTATCTTTATTCACTGGCAACTGCAGATGTTGGGGAGGGGGGCAAGAGGAGGCACGTGCTCTTTATATTATAGACAGTGTAGACTATTTTCACTATTTTCGATGACAAACACATGTTGTCTATTATACTAACTAAATTGACCACTTTGTGTCAAGCAATTTTTTCAAGATATTTTTAGTCGTATGTATTTTCTCTGATATTTTAAATTTTACTGAGTAACGGAATAAAAAATGGACCATTAAAGGCACGAAAAAATCCGGACACATTAAAAACGCTGCCATTAAGGCATTTTTGGAAGAAAAAATTCAGAATTTCACTGGATCAAGCTAAGAGAGTATAGAATCACAGTAGGCAGTGGTTGTCTGGTTAAGTTCATTTGTTTACATCATGGCTTCACGCTCGAAACGAAAATCTGCTCCTGGCAGTTTTCGATCAAATTCCTGGGTAGGAACTGTATACCTTGGTTGATCGGAAGAGTGCCCCGGAAGAATGTAAAATCAAAAAGAAGTCGAAATTTCCCAAAAAGTCAGGCAAACAATCTGCAGTTGTGGGCTGAAAACCGAGACTTTCGTTACTTCTGGGACCTTGAACCAGAAAATTTACCAGAAGGTGTGTCTACGGCCCGGACTTGGCAAGTTGCCACTACTCAAATTCCACCAAGCAGTGGTACAGCGAAAATGCTGTCACAGTGATTCCCAAGGAGACAGCTAATACTCCGGAACTAAGGCCAATTGAGGAACACTGGTCAATTGTGAAGCACATGCTGAAGAAAAAAGGTGAAACTGCATTTGGCCTGAAGAATTTCAAGCGGAAATGGAATTTGGCAGCCAAACAAATGGGAACAGGGCTCGTGCAAAAGATGATGGGCCGTGTACGAAGAAAAGTTCGAGCAATGGCTTATGATAAGAAGAAAGACAGAAACAATGGTCTTACAATCAGCATAATACCTACTAATGTTTAGTTGTTATATTGGAACTATGAAAATAAAACGCATTTTTAAACCTCAACAAGATTTTCGTGCCGGATTTTTTCGTGTTCAACTTTTAAATTGAAGTATTGTTATCTATCAACAAATAATACGACGAAGCTTTAATAAAATAAAACGACCATGGGTTGGATTGGCTCTAGGATTAGACATAGTTAGGAGCTAAATTAAAACAGTTAAAAACAAATTACGGATCATCTTAAACATATCTTTAATAACGATACACTGCAAATCTCAATTTTCACCCCAACAAGAACATTTAAGGCCCAACCGCAATGTGGGCGGAAGCGGAACGGAAACGGAAAGTTTGACAGTTGTTCAAAAATGACATCAAGATACCTAACCGAAGTCGATTTGGTTCTAACTAGTTTTCAATCCGACAAGTAGGCTTACTCAGATAGGGTATTTCCGCTGCCGCTGTCATTGCGCTTGGGCCTTTAGAGTTGCTAGTGGGTTTGAGGAAATATCATTTTGCCTATTATTTTATTTGTCTTCACGTTTCTCTCTCTCTTTTTATCTTATACGGCTCTAGCAAAGTCCAGCACCACCTTTATTCCAGTACCACAATCGACGTGCACTGAAAAAAGTTTTCATATAGTTTCCATTGGGAACGCACATGATATTTTTCCAATAACAAAATTAATGATTTTTATATGAATTTCACATAACGTTCATACGATCACATGAATTGTATGTGATAAATCTCATAAACTTCATTGGACACATAAGGTTCATGTGATTTTGTGGTGCGATTCCCAATTATGAGAACACATGAAAGTTATGTGAAATTCTAATGAATATTTTCCATTGGAAATGTGATTTATTTTTTGAGTGTACTAGATTAAAGAAGTACCACGGTACTACAATCATGTCCCTGTAACCGGCCACTTTATTTGTCCGAGGACTAGATCGAGGTTCAACACTCTACAGTATGTTGAATCGATGGACCCTTATTACCTAGAGACTCAAACAGTTTTAGAAAAAGATCGATTTTTGCAAATACTTGGATTGTTTAAACCAATAATATCTAAAAATTCATGCTAAAAATCCAAATGTTTGCACACTATTCGAAAGGAAAACATTAGGGCTTTCATTTGACATGTTTAGAACTATTGACAATCATATTGAATTTGGGCGTTATTTTTTTTATTTATGATGGAGTAATTTGTTTTTTAGTTTCTCAATTGGAGGGAGGTAGGGGGATTAGGGGCATAATGAGCACCTGATGTTGATTGTACGGCTCTAGCAAAGTCCAGCCCCTAAATGACAGCAAATCGAAATCAAATTTTGCTATCAGCATCAAACTGAAATCATAGTTGGATTCAGAGGTTGAAACTGTTGACGTTTTTTACGACACTCGCTTCGTTGTCATGCGCGACAGTCTGTTTTTATTCGTACTATCATGCTCTACCGTCGTCTCTCTCACACAACACAACCGGTAGAATAACATTCGAACAAAAAGAAAATGATCAAATAACTATCAAATGATATGAGTGATTTTGTTCTAATTCCTCAGTTTGGTGTAAATTAAACCATTTCTGATCAGAAATGTTATTCCTAGGACATCATAGATTGATTTTTTTCAGAATTCACTCAAGCACAACATCAGCAGCTCTTATAATGAGAGAAACTAAAATACATACATTCGTGACGGTCTTCGGTGACAGTGTCGTATGACAGAGCCTGTCAAATGACATTTGAGTTTGGTACTGTACTATGATAGCTTGTTTTGCAAGTGTCGGAGGCAAAGGCAGTCGATTATCACAGAAAATGTGTCGACTACCGTGACCGCTTACAAGACTGGTTGGATTTCAGTTTTCGCAATTGACAAATTTGGTTTTCATTTTGCTGTACATTTGCTCTTCAACAATATGTTGTTGTGGTTTTGTTTTTATTGCCTTACAAAACATCAAATTGAATACCGACTTGTTTTGTTATCAACAGGAAAAATGCACATCAAATTTAGTTTTCAGTTTGCACTGAATCAATTAGTTTCAAGGACTCCTTACAGCAATAGCAACTCCTCCTCCCCCGGAGCTGGTTCGATCTAGTCTTAGAAGCCGGAAGTCAGGAAGGTAGACGTTTACCTCCGGTTTCAGGTGGGTTTCGGTGATAACGGCAATGTCGATGTTTTGTTTGTTGAGGAAGTCAATGAACTCGATGAAGAGCAAGATCATTGAGCAAGCGTTCTTGATGGTTTCACGGTCCATAATTGTCGATGAAACGTGATGCAGCAAGAATCTGCTCGGTTCTGGTTCTGCAGGAGCGCTTGATGATGATTGCTTCTGCCATGATGGTAATAAGTTCCTCTGTTGTGAGTAGCTCTTCGTTTTCATGCGATGGTAGGGCATCATCTCGACGCCACGATAGACCCGGGGGAGGGGACGAAACCGTTGCCACAAAGGACTGACGGCTTGGATTAGCCGGATGGTTTGGCACCTCAGCAGTTGGTGGGACCGATGCAGCAGCAGCAGCCAAACGGTTGTTGAGCGGTAGTGGCGGAAGAATTGGAAACGGACGCCGTTGGCTAATGGCGGGGAAATTCTGCTCATTGCGTGCCGGTACCTTTTTCCGACCCGGCTGTTTCTGCGTGGAGGACCTTTTGCGGATTTCCATGAATTCCGCACGCTTCGGACAAGACGGCGCATTGTGGATCGGCGTTCTCCATGCTCTCACATTCTTCGGGTTCGTGTTGTTTGCCACATTCGTTGCAGCGATGAGCCATGTGGCAATTTTTGGTCCCATGCTTAAACATGAGGCAGTTTGAGCATTGGGTGACGTTACGGGGGCGAGGTTGGTAGCGTTCCCACTTAACCAGGATGTGGAAAAGCGCCCGAATACACTGCAGGTCCTTCAAACACGTTGTGTTTCGCTCAAGGTGGACCAAATATAGCTGGTCACGGTACTTGCGAGGCCTTAGGCCGTTCTTCTTCAGCTCATCCGACAGCGCGGCGATTTCCATACCGGGCAGACCACGCACGACCACCTTGAGCGGCTTGTCCTCCTCGATGTCGTGAGAGAAATACTCCCATTTTTTCTGCTTCAGCAGCACTTCAACGGCCTTGTAGTCCTTCCTTGCAGGTACCATCAGCATGATGCCTTCAGAGCACAGGCGCATGGTGCACTTCAAGAAGCCTTTCTCGATGTAGTACTCGATGTTTTCCCGAAGTCCAGGCGGGAATCCCTTGACAAAAAAGGGTGGTAGTTTCTCCTTCTTCTTTATTTCCGGTTCATCACCATTTTCCAGAATGGCGTACCGGTTGTTGGACAGCAGCTTTTTCGAGGCCGACTGAGCGTTGGCGATTTCCTGACGGGAACGCTTCCCGGACGCGCTAGCAACCGCATCACCACGCGGCGGTTTTCCCATACTGGGATCGAACGATGTTTCACTTATCACCGCGAAAGGGAGACGCGAACGGACTGTCACAAAACTAATACTCAAGAGAGAGATCGGACGAAACCGGACTGGACTGCTTGACGATCAAGCAGTGAATGATGATATGCTTGTATATCAAAATCAAGATGATATGTATGTGAAATAGATTGGATGAGCGATTAGAAAGAGCGAAAGACAATGATTCGAATATCAAAAGATTATTGGTATAGGCCTTTTCAATGCATCACTAACGTAGAGTGCGCCACGCGAGTTCCAGAGGAAACATTAACCTGACTTTCCACTGTAAATCATGTTTTGGACCATCTCAGATGAATAAATTTATCCGGAAAAGTGAGAAATTGTTCCGAAGTTTCTGCTCTCACAACATTTTTTTTGACGTTCTCCAATT